CCAAGGGTCTGCCTTCATCAACGTTATAGTCATCATCTTCTCTGGGGTCATAGGTTGAATCGTCTAATTTAATGCACGGACATGGCCCGATAAAATGAGTTTTAGCCTTAGTTTCACAAATATATGAAGAGCGCTTTCTAATAAAAGTTACCTCCTACCATATCTGTTTCTTCTACTTCTACGTTGACGATTGGAATTAGATGTCCTTTGGCTAGGTCTTGGATTGGGGGTGTTTGGGGGACATAATAGTTCTCAGAGGGGTTACTATCATTAGTTATGGAGGTGGTGGTGTTATTACTCGTGGTAGTGGCATCATTAGTCTTGGGGGTGGTGTTGGTATCATTAGTCTTGGTGGTGGCGGTTTTTTTATTACTGCTCATTTTTCATACCTAAATACAAAAAAATCATAGTAAGAAAAAATTCGGTTTCATAGCTGAAGTAAAATGAAATAACACAAATTACTTAAAAAAATATGAGCAAAAAAAATTAACATTATTGCTAACTTATCTTAAGGTAAAAACTTGCTTTTTTTTATACCGTCCATTCGTTAGATCTAAAAACCTATCAGAAAAAAAGTTACATGATTAGTAATTGCGCTACTCTAACACTGCCAAATCACACTTAACAAAGCAATTCCGTTCAGTTATAAGTTCTAAATACTGATCTTTTTTGATGTTTTTAGGTAAATTAAACCCCCTTAGATTTAACGATCGGTGCTACGAAGTGAAAAAAGTCAACGATCTCGATGATCTGTAAAATTTCAAATCCCTGTAACATATGAATTTTGATAAAACTACTGATTAAGAACATTATACGTATTACCCTTATAGCCTTTTTAGCTTCAAAGAAGCGCCCCTCTAAGGCAAGTCCCATTCTTATCGCGGGATCGTATAAAGTAAGGCTTTCTAGATATTGTATTCATTATAAATCAACTGTGAGAATTAATTCTGTAGAAATGTGGTACAAACTATTCAAGTAACTTGTATCACGAACTTTATTTTTTATGCAATATCTTAATACTATAACAGTATGATTTATTTTTATATGTAAAATCGCATATTGGGCGAATATCCACACGATGTTTTATACACAGCTGAATCAACTATCATAGGATGTAGGAATATTTATGGCTTAGGGCCCCTAAAAACAAATATGAGGCTAATCCTCTTCATTTATAGATTCCAGTGGCCCTCCTATATCGGGTATACTTAAATCGCTATCATTTTGTGATGCAGATAAATTAAGGGCCGAGGTAATATTTATCAACTCAGATGAAGATGAGTAAGTCACATTACTTAAATTTCCACTTGCATCATTCATGTTATTACCCGAATCTCCACACACATCATTTACATTAGCTAAGCTATGTCCAACGGCACTATTTACATTATCTCGATTACTATTCTCATCCCTTCTACTAGGAACTCTCCGGATGGGTGATGCGGATCGATTCCTTTGATTGGTGGTGGATTCACGGCGACTAGTACTTAGAATTGATGGCACTTCGTAAGTTGGTGGTGGGGTACGGTTACGGCGACGTCTTCTGGTGGATGTGTTTGC